ATATATTTTAGGGAGATATTTTCCATCTTTTTATTATCTGTGATATGAATAAAGACGGCATTTCAGCCAGTCCCAGACATGAGTGCAAATGTTTATTAAAATATTTATTAAATACTTGAACAAATCAACAAAATCTTTCACCTCCTACCGTTGTTTTTCTGCGCGTTTGTCGATTAGTATATGCAAAGAGGGCGGATACAATGGACGACTCGATCGAAGCAATAGCATTCCATTATTTATGTTCTCTAAATTATTTAAAACTATTATTTCGCTTTGGACGTCCTAGTCCCTTGGCCTACTCTACTGATAGGGCGACTCTAAATTAAAAGTTGCCCGACAAATATATTAAAAGTTTAAAGAAGTCTCCTTACGGCTATATTCCTTGGAAGTAATTACTGAATTAAACTCTGACCATCGCCCAGTCAAGTTAGTAATAGGCCAGCCAGGCGTGAAGGTCCTTAAGATCATGACTAACACGGAAAAGTTAGGCTGAAATCCCCCGCACAGTTCACTACGCAACCCCACTGCGGATAGGCGGTCTTTATATGTCTTCGAAATATTTTTTTGTTCTTATTTCGAATCAAATTTATAGGTGGTAGGGCCACGCAGCAATGTTGCAGGAATGGGCAGGCCCGTCCGGGTAAGTACTACGACTTCACAGAAGACCAACGTCAAGGGAAAGTATGACAAATACTTTCGCGTTTCGTCTGTAGGTGAGGTCGCGGTGAATGCGGTAGCCGGGGCCCAATTTTCAAAAGGTTGTCAACGCATCTGTAACCCTCGGGTGTAGCAGATGTCCATGGGCGGCGGTATTCAATTAACATCAGGTGACCCGTCTGCTCGTTTGGTAACATTTCGCATTAAAAAAAACATGCAGGTTCCTCACGATGTTTTACATCACCACAAGTGATAAGTCAGGACTTACAATTAACAATTTCAGTGCCGACAGCGGGGATCGAACTGTGGTTGCTCGAGTATATTAAATTAAAAGCGAGTAGAAACAAACAGATCAACGTTAATCTTTTCTACAATTAACGTTTTTATATAACAAAGTGGCAAACGAGCTGCTGGTTCACACCGGTCTTCTGTAACAGCGAACACTGTTGCGTGACCCTTCTACAGTAAAACACGTTTTTTTAATGGGAAAAAAGCTGCAAACGAGTAGGAGGTTGACCTGATGGTAAGTGATCACCGCCGCCCATAGACACTTGCAACACCAGATAGCTTACAAATGCGTTGCCGGCCTTCTAAGAAAGAGTACGCTCTCTTCTTGAAGGTTCCCAGGTCGTTAAGGTTCGTAAAGACCGCCGGCGGCAGCCGGTTCCATATACCGGTTGAAGTTTTCCACACATAACTGAAGTATTTTTTTTAATGCTAAAAATGTATTCTGCCTTCCTTGTTTAAGACCAATTAGCCATTTTCTGTTTAAAACAAAAAGTGTTTAAGTAATATTAGAAGTGACAGAAATGTCGGCTCAAAATCTGAAATCGTGCGTACGAATTCACGTGGCATTAGGAATCAAGGTGTTTCACTGTCTGCATTAATTTTGTAGAAAGTTGCTTTAATTTGTGTAAAAAAATGAAGTATTATGGTCAGCAATACCTTGGTTTAAAGTCGTGGTAAATAATCGTTATTTAATAACGTATTTTTTTGTTTTGCAACTGACTGTTGATTGATTACTGTACCGTCGGAAATTGTGAAAATCTGAAAGACAAACAATATAAATAATAGGGAATATTGAAGGATGCGCGCTAGCTCAGTAAATACCTATTCATTCTTCACTCTCCCATTGAAGACGCTTGCGTTGTAATCGGATGAAAAGTCGGCGTCCGACAGGTTGTTCCATACTCGTTTGCCACCTTCTCACATAAAAAAAAATATTGTATTCAACATTGTTTTCTTTGTTTATGGATATCCAACATTAATTATCTTCTGCTGTCTTTGATTTGATCGGAATCTCGAACGGCTCCAACGATTTTCACGAAATTTAGTATGTGCGTAGATTCGGGGGCGAAAAATCGATCTAACTAGGTTTCATTTTTAGAAAATGGCCTTTTATCTTCTGGGAATGAAAAATTTCATTCGAATATGACGGTAAATTTCGCCGAAAAAAAAATGTTATAATAGCTCGGTCGGTAATCGGGCGGCCCCGAAACAGAAGGCCGCGCTTCGAGTCACGATCATTAATTATTACACACTTATTTTTTTTTTACTTTTTTCTATACCAGATCATTGCTTTCTATACTTTTTATTCTTTTTATTTACCAAAAAAACCGAGCAAAGCTCGGTCCTTCAGGTACTAAGTTTACTACGGGAACGAGAAATCGATAGTCAATTTATATTTTAATTTGCATATTTGAACACAAAGATAATGAGAGCGAGACTTTGCCTGAACTGAAATTGGTTATTGTGTAAATTGGTATTGGTTGTTAAAGAACAATCAGCAATTTAACTAATAAAATAGTTTATTTTTAATGTAGGTAGACACTGTATAATAAGAGATATTCTTAGAGAGATATATTTATGTAGGATATTATCCACTCACAATACAGAAAGAACGAGAAGCCGCGACCCCCCATAACTGAAGCTTTAAAACCACTCTGAATTGGAGTAGTTTTTCGCACAGCTCAATCTGTGAATTTCCTAATGCGTGACGTGAATGATGATGATGATGATGATGTGACTTCAATGTTCTCAACTTTACCCTAAAATGGACAATAATATCCGAACTAGCAATATTACGCGTTTGGGAAGCAGAGCGGGCGCGGGAGGCTTGTTTCGTTTTGGGGTTTAGAAACAGCGCGCGGCATGCAATTACAACGAAGAGTGAGCTATACTAGGTAAAATCGAGTACCTGTTACGCCTGTTCCTGTTACTTAAAAGTAACAGTGACAAATACCTGTTACAAACTAACAGCTTGTTATTTCATACTGTGTTGTGACAATTTGTGTAGCTGTTATTTGTGCAGCATAGAGTAATTACAGTGTGTTACGTTAAGGTAACGTCCGTACTTCTTTTTCTAACATAGCTCAAACAAAGACAGTGAGTGTTCAGTAACAACTATGACTATAATGTGAATGTAACAGCAGTCGTAAGCATAAATAAAAAAAAAGCTTGTGACAGCGTGTAAGGGAGCAATTTGTGTGAAACAGGAACTGTTATTTAAGTTTCTTCGTTATAGGCAGATACCTGTTACATTTACCTGTTACGATAAAATTAAATTCGCCTCACTCCTATACAACTGAACGCGGCTTCTGATTCTTTCTGTAATCTGAGATTATACAACATAATGCATCAAACAATTTTATATGTATTTTTTAACATATTGTGATATAATTTAGACAGAAGTGAATTACAAGGAATGATTTGTACATGCATAAGGTATATCATGTCAATAAACATAAAAGGTTCATCGGTATAACCTAAAACTCAATAAATAATATTTGTACATATAAATTGATTGTTATAGTTTGGAAATACACACTACATCAAAATAATTACATTGTACGCAACAGAGATGATCTTTTTGTGAACATACAGTTGATTTGACTTTTTATATGATAATCTAAAATAAATAATTGTTAATTTTATTAGAAATAAAAACATGTGGCAATATTTAATTGAAACATATGGTTTTAATTAAAGTAAAAAATTAAATATAATGGAAAAATGTGACCACAAGTGATGCATGTTATGATAGTGTAAATTGAATACTAATATTCAAGGTCGTCAATTTTTACATTATAAACATATCTATTTGTTGCCTTTTATTTATTGAAATGTTGTAATTATCAATTAATTTTCTTACATACATGTGTTGTGAAAAAAATAAATTTGCGTTTTACACAAGCAAAAAGGAATAAAAGAAGAGATATAAAAAGTGGGCTTATTTAATCTAATATAAAACAATATATCTGAATCCAAATAGGTCTTGGAGTGAATAGATAGAATAAATAAGCACATGTAAAATGTAATTTAGTTGAAAAGAAAAATGATACACATAAGTGAAACCATTTTTTGAAATTTAAACTTCTAGATGCTTATGAAAGTATCAATCTAAACTTAATGATGCCTTAATATCTCTTCTTTTCACTAGAAATGCGTATAAAGTGATCGAATCAACGCAAACTAAATGAGCGCTACATTGGTATATTGGAGATATTATTTGCTTAACTTAGTGTTCCATTTATTAACTATTCTACGTAATAATTCAACGAATTCAATTAATTTAGACAAATTAGGGAATATTCGGTCGTGGAGAATGAATTTTGTTCGAAGCGACAAGATTTAAAAAAAAAAGAACTGAAGACGATAATATCCGTAGAACAGTTCCTTTCATCAAGTGCGTGGTTCGCGTTGATACGGGAAGTAATTACGATTCAGAATTTGACTAACGGCATTACTGTACTAAACTAAACTGACGACCGCACGCAGATATCTCAATTAGCGCTCAGAATTACAACCGTTTATTTGTAAAACGGAGCCCGATTAATAAGTCTCTAGGAACTTCGCAAATGAACGAATTCGATTGAAGGTGCTAATCGAATGCGGCCGTAAGCCTAGACAACTTTTTTTTATTTGAAACTAGCCAGTGCTGTCATCCCACCTTATGGTAAGGGGCGACGCGGCCGTATGAACCAACAGAGGGTCATCTCGGACCACGGATGCCAACTTAGGAATTTTCTTCCTAAATTTAGGAAGAGGAAATTTACAACGGAAGTTTTTAGGGGGTAAACTAACTCCCTAACAACTAACAAAGGAAAACTCCCTAAATGTCTCTCATTAAGGTGTAAGTAGTGCGATTCTGGATTGCTTTAGGGAAATATTTTTGTTTTTAGGGGATAAATTCAAAGCAAAACTTCCTGAATGTTTCTCATTCAGGTTTCGGTTTGAATTTTATTGGGTTCTTGTACCGCTCTAGGGAAATATTTTTTTTAACAGTTGGCAACACTGTCTCGGGCATCCTAACACGCGGCTTGGCTCCGGCGACGCGCCCATCAGCAGCCCAGCAGATCGCCCACCGCCCTGGCGCCGCACTCGCTCGCCCAGTAGACGCCCCCGCAGCTGCTGACCAGGCCCCACACGTACGGCGTGAAGAACTCCTCGGGCCTCTCCTCCTCCACGTAGCGGAACTTCAGGTCGGGGAATTTCTGTGGCGGACAACGGCAGTGGCGGATTTAGCAGCGGGCTACTTAGGCTCTAGACTAGGGCGGCAAAATTAGTCCAATTTTTTTTAAAGTATGTTTTGTTTACAGCGTTTTTATGGCATACCTTACTCCTTCTTATAATTAGAATGTGTTTGAGCTTTTGTTCGCTCAGAAATATACTCAAAAACTATCCTTCTTGATTAAATCGTGTGTTGTAAAAAAATTAGTAACTGACGCAACGAAACCCTTGTTCAAAATCATGCTAACAACAAGAAACAAACTGGTGAATTGAAGACGATAGAGCACAAATCATAAAGTTGCAATATTATTGACGGAATAAGTGTAATTAATATTGCAGTAATTTTTCTTTCATCTACCGCTCGCTAAAGAGCAGATGGTCTAAGATGTGACGCTACTTTGTGCTTTTCTATGTAAGAAGATGACGAGTGTGCTGGCGGTTCACACGATGTGAAGTGATAAATGCCGACATTTGATACAACCGTGTAGTTGCAGATAAGTTGCCGGCTTTTAATGAAGTGAGCCTTATTACTTCATTCACCAGACGAAACGCAGAAGTGTAACAGTTCCGTTTCATAACGGTTCGTGGGATGAGCATAGTGTTTGTTTAGTTTGTCTATGTTTACAATATATATTTATTTACAAAAAGTGTTTAGTTTGTCTATATTTACAATATATATTTATTTACAAAAAGTATGTTTCTCAGTTACCAAGTATCCATAGTACATGCTTTGCTTAGTTAGGAACTAAGTAACCTTATGAAAATATGTTCTGACATAGTTTATTTATTTATATATGAAGAGAGGACGCTCTGAAGTTATTTTAACCTGCTCCCTACAACTAATACGTATGTTTACCAACAGTCAAAGAAAAATGACCAACCTTAAGTCTATCGCTGGACCACTGCTCTGCGCCTTTCTTGATACATTGCAGCACTTCTGTGACGCCAAGGTCACCACCAGCGCCCTCTTGTACCCTTTGCAGCCTCGTAGAGAAGTATCCGATCACCTGTGGGGAACATATCACGTAACTACTTGTTAATAATTTCCGATGACTCCGCGGCGTAGTTGACTAGGTATTGGCTTCGGCGCCTGGGGTCGTGTGTTCGATTCTCAAGCGAGACAACGATTTTTGTGACCCATAGTTATTTGGTGGGTGTAGTAGTTAGTTGTTAGGTGTAGTAGTTAGTTGGTGGGTGTTTGTACATTTGTAAAATTTATGTATATAAAAAGTCCTAACGACACAGGAAATGTTATCCTACAGTAAGGGGAAAGATTTTCGAAGAGAAGAGTACAACAGATCTTTTTAGGTCGCAGTGGTGGAGCCCTACCACATAAAATACATAACACATTCTTACAGAAAGTAAGAGATGGTTAAGAAAAAGTGGTTGAATCATTTATAACAATATCAATTAGCACTTAGAATTACTAGGAAAGCCTGGAAGCAAACTAAAGTATGTTAACGCTTTGCACGGGAACGTAATGGACTTAGCTAGCCACCCGATTATCCTCTCTCCCCCCCACACATCGACTGTACTGTACGCATTATCGTATTAACCATGCTATTCTTCATAAACAAATAGCTAACATAAGGACTAAATGGTACTTGCGTAAAACTTTCTGAGCAACCAAATATGAGTATGCCAGACCGGCCAGACCAGTCATGCCTTATTAGTAACTAGCTGCTGCCCGCGACTACGTCTACGTAGAATAGGCTGAAAGCGTAACATTCAGACGGAGAGACAGATATCAATAAAAATATGTATATAAATTGTAGCCTATGTCTTATTCTGATGTATAAGCAATATTATTGTAAAGCTTCATTAAAATCCATTCAGTAGTGTTTGCGTGAAAGAGTAACAAACATCCGTCCATACATACAAACTTTCGTGTGTATAATATTAGTAAGGAAGTAAGGACAGCTAAGTAATAGTTTCTGCCGGCATGAATCACCATTTCGATGTTCTGCGCGATGTGGTGGTGGTGCTGGTGCTGCTGGTGCTGGAAGAGGTGCCTCTTATGGAGCAGCGCGTAGACCAGGTTCAGGTTCGAAGACAGCTGGTGGGTCAGGCACGAGTTGATGATCTCGAGCAGCATTCGTATCACTTCGTCCAGTACCGCTATGTGATCCATCTGCGAATAAGGGTATATAATAATAAATAAAATTAAATTAAAAGCCTTTATATTTCTTGCAAAGAAAAAAAAATTATAATTAAATGTGTTTTGTTTGATTTTTTATTACGTTTCTTTATAACGTTTATTTGCAAGAACCAAAAAAAAATAAGGATAAAACCAACGCGACAATATTCACCGTCTGCCGTCGCGACAATATGCACAAGGCTCAGTTTTTTATCGCAGTCCTTTTAAAAAAAAATGCCCTTGCTGTACGACAACATTATCGTAATCATTTCACGTAATCACATATTCGTAAACATTTTACTAACATAAATATCACGTGAACAAACACCCCGATCGGAAACAATTATCCGTGGATCACCTAAAGAGCCATCTAATGTCTGGAATGGTTGTAACCAAAAGAATACGGTTAATTTGTCAGTTAGGTTCACGCAGTAGCTAGGCTGTTGGATTCAGCGGGGGGTGTCTTGGGTTCGATTCCCACAAGTATTCTTTCGACCCGCACTATTGTCACATATACTGCGTGTCGTTACCATCGCGACAATAAATAAACACACATATAGGGGATAACTTTGTAAAGTTGTATTACACATTTAAATTCTTTAAACATCAATATTTACAGAGTTATTAAATTTTGAAAAACAAAGAATTTTAGAACAGCCTTACCTATAAAAGCGTAACGTAAAGTTCATTTGTAAAGGTCACAAAGCATATGAACGTGTTGAATGAATTTAAAAGAGACAAAACATACTGTTAGAAGGAGAGGCTTGTAATACGACGCTGTGGCGCGAGTTGTATAGGATGTTACAAATTTTGTTTCTTTCTTACTTAATTAGTTTGTTTGAAAAATATTTTTTTTTAATTATGGATTTTCTTTAACGTTAATATTTTTTTATGATCATTGGCAAGTAGCGTTAGACGTGTGTTCATTTATTGTCGCGATGGTAACGACACGCTGTATATGTCGATTCTCTCTTGGATCCTCGTATAGGAAACGTCCGCTACAACGATTTTGATCCACGTGCATCAAACCTTGTGCTTTCCGTTTATACCTTTTTTTAAAAAAAATAAAGTAGGCCCGAAAAGTTACTACTTACTATTTCCTCTGTTTTTTCCTCGGCGTGATGCGGCAACTCTAACGTATTTATATCACCACCTGAAATACAATATTTCAATATAAAAAAATTGGATATCATTTTGCCGACTTGGATTGAGGCCATTGAGATAATTTCTTTGTATTCGTCGCATACCTTCTATTTCGCTACACAACCGCGATCTTCTCTTCGTCAACGTTTCAAACAGCGACACTATCCTCTGAGCGACGTACGGATGGAGATTTCTGAATTCGCCTGGAAGGACACAATTACATTGTTATTTTGTATGTAATTGAATTCTCTTTTATGATCAGTGCATCCATTGATTGATGTTTGGAAAATGGATCATTTAAGGTCGTAAAGGCTAAAGGCCCATTTACATGATGCCAGTTTCTTGCCTGTTGTATACAATTAAATTGAAGCAATAAATGAGTTGCATGGTCTAAACAACAAATGGTCTAAACAATTATTGCGCGCAATTTATTGCATTCAATTATTGCTCTTGTATGTTCAAGAAAATGGCATCGTGTAAATGGGCCTTTATTGTGAGCATTCTAAGCCCAAAACTGGTAAGCCGACACTTATCTTGAGCTTAGGCTAATAACCAGCGTAAATGGAGCTCTCTCCAAGAGCAAACAGAGCGCAGTTATAGCTCTTCTTAGAAATCGTGTGGTATTTAAGATATATCCAACTGGGATGAGCCAGGCTATTGAAGTAGATTTATTTATTTATCAGTTATATTATTTAGTAAGTTTAAGCTCGGGACATTTTGCACTTTTCCTAAAACCAGCCTAGATGGGGTTGATAATGATCTCCATCTGAGTTATCTTCTTAAATCCTTATCGGACCGTTGCACAATAGTTGGACCTCCGTTTTTACAGGAATTAGTTGGTACTCACAGCTCATTTTGAATATCTTTATCCGGCAGTTACATCGTAGCAAGTACCAGCCTAGATAGAGCTCCGTTTTAGAGCAGTTAGTTGGCATTTACAGCTCATGGCGATCTTTAGCAGCAGCAATTAGCAGAATAACAAAGACCAGCCTTCATAGAGCTCCGTTTACAGGGTCTAGTTGGCACTCACAGCTCATTTTGGCGATCTTAATCAGACAGTTGGCACATTATAGATAGGAGTAGCCTAGATGGAGCTCCGTTTTAGAGGAGATAGATGGACCTTACAGCTCATGTCTGTCATGGTTGTCACTTAGTTAGCAATAGCAAGGACTAGCCTAGATGGAGCTCCGTTTTGGAGGAGATAGATTGAATTTAAAGTTCATGTCAGTCATGATTATCACTGAGTTAGCAATAGCTACAACCAGCCTAGATGGAGCTCCGTTTTAGAGGAGATAGATGGAACTTACAGTTCATGTCAGTCATGGTTAACACTGAGTTAGCAATAGCTATAACCAGCCTAGATGGAGCTCCGTTTTAGAGGAGATAGATGGAACTTACAGTTCATGTCAGTCATGGTTAACACTGAGTTAGCAATGACCAGCCTAGATGGAGCTCCGTTTTAGAGTAGTTAGTCGGCACTCACAGCTCATGTTGGCGATGGCCGCGAGGCAGTTCGTGTGAAGGTATTTGTCCCGCACCCGCGCCATATTGTACTGCAAGGCGCGCACCACCACCAGCACCATGAGGCCGCCCAGCGATATCTCCGATATCGAACGCTCCGTGTACCATGTTAGGTTTTTCAGCATCTGCAATTGCAGATTAAAAAAGTAAAAGAAAATTAACACCATATATATTGCAATAGTACCACTATAATATAAATGTAAAAGTAACAGCCTATACATGTCCCACTGCTGGGCAAAGGCCTCCTCTATACAGAGGGTATCAGGGCGTAGTCCACGCGGCCCCAATGCGCGTTGGCGGACTTCACATAAGCTTCAGCAAAGACTAATTTGTATTGATAGGTAACAATTTCTTATATACTATAGTACATCGCCTCTACAGGGCATATTTGGAACCACATTTGGACTACTAGCTCCAGACGCCGCTTCGTCAAGATTGGTGGTTGTTAGTAGTTCCTAATAAATCGGCTAGATGTAGCTACTAACAGACGGTAACTAATGAATAAAGTTATTCGACTCACAATCTGATGCACGCTTTTGATGAGAGAGTCGTCTTCCGTCAGTATCAGTAGAACTATCAGCGACATGTAGATGTGATGGGAGTTGCTGTCAGGTGCGTTGTACAGCACTTGCAGTATGGGCACTATCTGAAAGAAATATGCTGGATTACATTAAAGTTCATAAATATATGAACCCCTTGTTTTTAAAAGGCAAACGAGGAACGACGACTTTGAGGGTTGCTGGATTTTGAAAGGGACCACGCAGATATTGTATAGATACATCCCATATTTGTACAGCCCTATTATTATACAAGGACGTCATAAAACATTATATTATTTTTTTATTTTACGTAAATTTTTATTTACGTAAAAGAGAAAGCAAGTGAAATAATAATAAATTTCGACACGGACAAATAGAGAAACGATTTCACGTGTTCATATTGATGAAAAGAACTCACCAAATTTTCGACGTGTGCAACGTTGCTCACGTGTCTCTTGTACGCTTTGCACGAATGCAGCATCAAATAGAGGAGCAGGGTGGAGTGTTCGCAGCCGGCCGTGGCGCAAAGAGCTTTGTGAAGCTGCAAGAACAAAACGTTCTTTTCTTTAAATGTTGATTGATATGTCGCATCCTGGTCATGAGTACGGATGCTTTAGGAGTCATGAGTCCATACTAATGACCCGTCTGAAGTTGCACCGATAACGCCAAGCGTGTCTATAACGCCTCTTTATCAAGTTATAAATGTGTGCGTTCACCGTGAGATGAATTATATAGGACAAACTAAAAGATGAATAAACACCAGAATAAAAGAGCTGACGTGAAGCACCGAAGGTTGAAGAAGTCCGCAGTTTGTGATCATATTTTAGATCGCCCCAACCTACTAGAATATCCTCGCAAAAGAACACCGATTCCTACTGAGGAGGATCGGCGAATCTATTGAAGTAATGAAACATCTTAATTTCAATAGAAAAGATGGTTGGGGTTTAGCATATGCTTAAAGTAAAGTAACAGCCTATACATGTCCCACTGCTGGGCAAAGGCCCCGTCTGTATAGAGGGTATCAGGGCATAGTCCACCACGCGGCCCCACTGCGGATTGGCGGACTTCACATATCTTCGAAATATATACTTTTTTTGTCATTATTTCGAAAATATGCAGGTTTCCTCATGATGTTTTCCTTCACCGCGGAGCACGTGATAAGTCAGCACTTAAAGTTAAAAACTTCATTGGTGCCGGCACCGGGGATCGAACTCAGGTTGCTCGAGTATATTGAATTAAAGGCGGACACTGAGCTATAACGGCTCACGGCATGGACGGAGCAAGCATCTGCTTGGGATCCCATAATTTATAAAATTAATTCCAAGGTCACCAACACTGGTAGACCTCAAGATACCATAAGCTCCTTTTGCGTAGATCGGAATAAAAATAAATAATAACAGATATATTACCGCAGCCATGTCAATCCGTGGCGGTGTGGTTTGTGCAGCGCTGTTTGAGTCCCTCTGCGGGGTGGTTGACGAAGTTTCTGTAATAGAAAACAAAAGGTTAATTCACACGATACTATAGAAATAGTGTAATTCCTGCGCAATAATGCCGAGTTAGTTATTATTAATAGTATTTTAGTGATAGCAAGATGAAAGAGCTGCGAGTTTCGAACTAATTCTGCGTAAAATATTCGACAATTCATCTACAAAAAAACACGTGTATATTTATGTACGCACGCAACGAGTTATATAGGTACTTTATAAATGTAACAATAGAAAAATAACTTAACTTTTTTCCAGATAAAACGATGCAAAAAGAAATGGAATTAATACAATTTAAATAAATAAAAAACTTGGAACTATAACTAAGGCAAATGTCAAAAAGTTGTAACTGGTTGCCATGGTAACGCCATGGCGTCGGTGTCGCATCTAGGCCACGCAGCGGCCTCGGCTGTTGCACGAGTGGGCAGGCCCGTCCGAATAAGTACCGCGACATCACAGAGGCCCGGCCTAAAGTGGAAGTATAATGCTTTCACGTTTCGTCTGGTGAGTGAGGTGGCCGGAGCCCAATTTCCAAAAGGTTGCCAACGCATCTACATCCCTCGCGTGTAGTAGACGTCCATGGGCGGCGTTGTTCACTCAACATCAGGTGAACTGCTCGCTTGGCAACTTTTCACATAAAAAAAACCTCGCAAAAGAAAACCATTCGAGGCCAGAGGTCGGTCGAGGGTCGAGCTCACCAGCAGCGTCCTCACAGCAGAGCAGCGCGTTCCGGTACAGGTTGCCCTGCGTCATGCAGTGGTTGGCCAGCGCCAGCAGCAGGAGGCACGACTGGTTGGCCACGCCGTGCTCCCTCCTCAGCCGCTCCAGGAGTTCAGCCCGCTCCAGCGGCGGCTGGCTGTATATCGTCGGCCGGGAACCGGACCCCAGTGTCAGCATTCTCCACAGGCCCGCTGCGGAAGAGAAGCGCCGTTGTGCCTCGGTAATAGCCGTACGGATATGTGGTTGGTTTACGAATTACTACTACTACTACTGTTGCATATATCCCTATAATGTATACAAATATATAAATGTATATGCATCCCTAGTGTAATAATCCCTAGAGGCTCACACAAACAGATACACTCTAATACTCTCTTTCCCTCTCCCACACAAACTCACTCACTGTGTCTATTCCTCACACACGCACACACGCGCACGCGTACGCGCACGCACTCTAGCACATACACACACACACACACACACGGCGAGCGCGATTATTTGATTTGTATGATTTATTCTTTAGATAGTACTATTCCCATTACAAGTGTCTATGACAACTTACTGGGAAAACTCAGCAGCAAGTTGTATCGAAGATCATAGAAATAAATGAATTTTTATTTTATTTTACTGTTTCGCACTGCCTTATTTTTCTCTATTTATTTGTCGCTTGACTAGTAGAGAACACCTAATGGTGTTAAGTCCACCATTGTCCGCTATTGTAAAAAAGTTTTTTCAACGAATAAATAAAAGTTGGAGAAACATCTGCAACCCTAAGGGTGTAGCAAACGTACATGCCAACTCGCGTGCTATCCCCTTACATTTAAAAAAAAAAGAAAAAAACCTTGAACACTCACAGGCCAAGTTGACTAAGATGCTGTCCCCGCTGCCGGTGCCGAACATAGAGGGCGGCGCCGGCGCCATATTGCAGAGGTTCACGAGCAACGTTTTCACCAAAAGCGGCGCGTGCATGCCGTAGCGTCCTTGAAACAGGGTCCTGGGCAATCATGTTTAATAATATAAATGACTAGCTGCTGCCTGGGACTACGCCTGCGTAGAAATAGGCTGGAGGCGTAACATTCAGACAGAAAGACAGATATACATAAAATATGTATATAAATTATAGGCTATGTCTTATTCTGATTCTGATGTATAAGCTATATTACTGTAAAGTTTGCGTGAAAGAGTAACAAACATCCATCCATACATACAAACTAAGGATGCATGTCAATATTGCGCGGCGTTTAAAAACTGTTTCTTTTTACGTTATACTAGCGACCCGATGCAATGTGTTTATACATATAAACCTTCCTGTTGAATCACTCTTATCTAGTTAAAAAAACCGCATCAAGATCCCTTGCGTAGTTTTAAAGATCTAAGCATACATAGGGACAGATACAGCGGGACGCTTTGTTTTATACTATGTAGTGATGACATAAGTGAATGCGACAGATGATATAGAACGTATGGTATGGAAAGAGATAGTAGTCTAAATAATTACAATCTGATTACACTAATTGGTGCTATTTTGGTGCCTCAGTTTCGGTGCGCTAGTGTCACATAAATACCTCGTGTTTGTATTCATTGGTCCTGGGGTTAAAATTGTATTAATGACAGCGCTCAAGATGCAAGTACATTATATATTTCCTAAACTGCGGTGGAAGTGGAAGTGTTTACTTCTGCGTTGCCTCTGGTGAGTGAGGTGGCCACCCTCTAACTTAATGTTGCCAGTTATCAAACAATGAAATCCCCACCTGTATATAAGTGAGGTCTCCACAAGGCGCGTCTGTCCGTGGACGCCGGCGAACATGTATACAGACATGAGCACCAAGATTGTGTTTATGCACTCCAAATGTAGATAGTACGTGTTGTCTCTGAAACGGGAAAAATGTCAAAGTGAAGTGACAGCTTTATATGTCCCACAGCTGGGACGTGATTCGGGCACCGCGATTCCAACTCAAGCTGTTCGAGTGCACCGAATTAAAACTGAGATAATAAAATGTTAAGAACATTTAAGTTATATCGAAAATAACTGCGGTAGGGCCTCGCAACCAGGGCCGGATTTAGGGGAGGGCAATAGCCCCGGGGCCTCCATTAAAGAGGGGTCCCCACAATAGAGAAGATTATATTTATATGTTCGTTAAATAATAAATACTTGGCTTCACAATAAATTATTTATTGGAAAACTCGACTGAAAAACAAAATTCATTTTATTTGGAAAATAATTTAGGGCCAAGGGGCCTAAATTACCACGCCACTCCTCTGTTGCCCGAGGCCTCCAGACCTCTAAATCCGACCCTGCACGCAACGGTCTTAGCTATTGCACGAATGGGCAAGTCCGTCCGGATAAGTACCACGACCTCACAGAAGACCGGCGTTAAGTAGTAGTACACCTCTGCGTTTCGTCTGGTGAGCGAGGTAGCCGGCGCCAACTTTATTTAAAGGTGGCAACGCATTTGCAACCCTACGGGTGTTGCTATTGTCCGAGGGCGGCGGTTATCACTTAACATCAGCTGAAACGCCAGCTCGTTTGCCACTTATCACATAAAATTCTAACTACTCGATCTAATATACATCTGATATCCTGAATATATCCTAATATATATATAATATCCTAGATACAGTCTATGGGTCCGAAACAGAACTCACGTCACTGGCACGTCGATGATAAGTCCTATAAGAGCGTCTATTAGCATTTCCACCCTGCTCTCGCCGCCCATCAGCTTGGGCGAGGCTGGCGGCTCCACCATAGGGGGCGCTGCTATCGGCGAGGGGGTCTCCGGAGAGCCTTGTGATTCCGGGGTCACCCGTCCATGTGGCTACAATGGAGAGTATGCTATGTTTATACAGTTTTTTTATCAGCCAGGCTTATGTGACACACACAAGAATCATTTCTCAAGCTTATGCATTATTTTTTTTAAAAGTTAAATATTAGCTTTTAATGCTTACAAAAAGTGACCTATTAAATAATACAATTCACGATGGACTAGCGGGAATATCTAACTTTGATTTAGCACGACACACGCTAGCATGCACTCGCTCACATATGCACGCACACAAACATGCAAAGGCAGTTATAGATAAGGACAGTGACACAACAGTAACGTACAGCTGATGCCGAAACGGAACTGACCGGTGTACTATCGACTTCTATTATGTCGAGATGCCCGTTCGCAGCGCGCGCCGCGTTTACGTCCAGGTGCCGGCACAGCTCGTACTCGGGAACGATCTCCACCAGGTACTTGCTCACCGCACGTATCACGAACAGCGCGTTGAAGGTCTGCCACGCCAGCATCACACTGGACGCGGCGAAATCGGAACGGGTATTTTCATGGTTAAATGAAAATAGAACTTTGTTAACTGAGATAGAGCCACGCAACAGCCTTCTGTGTTGCGCGTGTGTTTTTTATTATTTAGATCTGGCCAGCACTTGACTGCCATCCCACCTGATGGTAAGTGGCGTTGCAGCCTTCGATGGTAAGCGCAAGCTCAGTAAAAACCTATTCACTCTTGCCTTGAAGACGCCTACGTTGTAATGTTCAGGTCCATCCGGGTAATTACCACGACCTCGCAGAAGATCGGCGTGGAGTGGAGGTGTTATAACTTCTGCGTTTCGTCTGGTGAGTGAGGTAGCCGGAGCACACTTTATTGAACGGTGTGACCGCATCTGCAACCCCGCGGATTTTGCAAATGTCATTGGGTTACGGTTGACACTTAACATCAGGTGAACCACCAGTTTGTTTCCATCTTCTCACTTCTATTTTACGGCTTTTAATTTGACTTTGTAAGTTCCCGACACGAGTCACGAGACAGACTGGTCGTAAAACAGTTTCATTTAACCATGTACGTAGAATATTCAGGTAAAAACAAGAAATTAATACGGTTATTTTAAATTTAGACACATTTCATATTTTCTATAAATGTTATCTATGTTTAAAATGGTCCCAAAAGATGTAGAGAAGACACAATATACAACAACAAATGTGACATAAAAAGTAGTCATAAAGGTTGATGTCATGAGCACACCGGGTTATTAGAATCAAAGCATGGTCTTCTCTGTACAGATAGCATTTTTTCCATATTCTTATTTGTCAAACTTCAGTAATTTGCTTTCAGTTTCATTAATAAATGTAAAAAAATATTGTTTTTCATGGTTTTTATCTCAATTCTTTAATTTCATTTTCAAATTAATCCAGTCAAAATACATTTGAAGCCGATGAACTTTCAAAAATACAACATTAGCTAATCAATAACCAAAATCTTGAAACATGGGAAGAAATCTAGAATGTTTAGAGAAGAAACTCTGAAGTACCTAATTGTACTATATGAAGTAAAGTAAATGTTTTCATTATTTAAGGTGTAGTAGTATTGATGTAAAAAACTATGACCAAAATGAAAAAAATTAACTTGTTAAAAGGCATTGTCCACTTTGTATGGGGGTTTTGGCTTGGAGTGAACATTCACTGAGAATAACAACGATGTTTAGAATTAATAGATTTATTCAAAAGGAATTAGAAAAATAATAAAGTTTTGTGTCCAGGTGTTTCTTAGTGTTAAAAAAAAAATTATAAACAGGGCTTTGAAATATAATATCGAATTTAGTTTTCATATTTTTTTATTAATCAGATTCATAAGTTAATAAAATGATATATAAGAACCGGGCAGGTGGATTTACAGACTCTTGGACCTTGTCCAGCTCATGAACCAAATAAAGTATATTATATGGGCACAGCAACCCACTGTCCGTCGACCCACCATGCAGTTGCAAAAATATTGTTTTATACTACCTGTCTGTTATATTATTTTCATATAAGATATAAATATAATATATTTTTCTGCTGATACAGACAACATACATTCACAGTACCAAAGAGAATGTAATCACTACGTTTACCTATACAATACCTACGAATAAGGCAAATGACATTTGTCAAAATAACAGTCACAACTCCAACCAAGTATTGCCTAATGTCGCCATAAAAATCGTAATCAATGAACAATTTTTTTAATATGATTCTGGTATTTTGTTATCAAATACATTGGCAAATATTATTCAAATACATTGGTAATTGAAGTTGATCAAAATAATACAATATTAACTTTAATTCCTTATAAATATTTATGTATAAAAATGCAGTGCCACATGATTTCGTGACTTTGCACTTTCGATAAATTATTTTTACCACAAATAAAATCTAAGTTAATAAATGAGAATAATAATAATATTATTTTGATTGATTAAAAAGAATATTCATAGATGTGATTGAGATTTTTATACTGGCAAGGTAATATTTTAAAATGTCGACAAGACTTTGTGTATATAAATCAATATAAATACTCATTATTGGATGTTTTTATCAGTTTGAATCGATACAACCGAAAAATACAAATATTCATGTTTTATTCAAGGAGATTTTTTGGTATAATTGTTTTTATCTAAGAATTCTGTTCACGCGAAGCCAAAAATGGACAATGTCCTTTTATCACAGTATTTCTACAAAATTATATAAGTCATTATGTATATTCAACAAATTAGCAAGCTTATGTAACTTAATGTTGACTAATGTAGTTTAATCTCAATGACTCAGACTGTGACATGTTTTTACTGTTTAGATAATAACTTTGTATGTTAAAATTTGGTAATGTTATCTACATAACTAATGGTTGTATGTAAAAAAAGTAAAGTAACAGCCTATACATGTCCCACTGCTGGGCAAAGGCCTCCTCTATATAGAGGGTATCAGGGAATAGTCCACCACGCGGCCCCACTGCGGATTGGCGGACTTCACATATCTTCGAAATATTATTTTTTTTGTTATTATTTCGAAAATATGCAGGTTTCCTCACGATGTTTTCCTTCACCGCGGAGCACGTGATAAGACAGCACTTAAAGTTAAAAACTTCATTGCTGTCGGCACCGGGGATCGAACTCAGGTTGCTAGAGTATTTTGAATTAAAGGCAAGCGCCCGGACACTGAGCTATCATGGCTCTTTATAATTTCTTTTTTTATAACCATAGTTAATGTTAGACAACAATATTTTTTTGATATTTATAATGAAAAGTAACTTACTTGTCACTGTTTGGTGATGCAAGCAGTTCAGTAGCACGTGTAATAAAAACTTGAACTAAAGAACCTAGATTGCCAGTCTGCAGGTTGTTTTGTAAAAATTTCTGCAGGAGTGTTTCAGTACTTGAATCAAATATAAGCTGCTCATCGCTGCAACAAAAATTTGTAGTTTCCCTTCAACTAAAGTCCAATAGAAATTTTAATGAAGCATTTTGTGAGGACATTTTATTTATTAGCCTATGATAGAAATATAAATATAGAAAATTATAACTGAATATCCTGGGTTTGTCAAAACATTACGAGGTTAGTAAATTGTTTTTAAGTGTTATAAATATTGGTAATTTTAAACAAGTTTTTTTTAAACAATTACTGTAGTGCGGACACAAAGTAGCCATTTATTGTTTCACAAATGGGTATGCTTGATGAAAAACTGAATGGTGATAAGTGAAAGTATTACACTTTTAAACTTTTTAAAAGATTTGCAATTAATCTGCAACCTCCCTGGAATTATTTAAGATAACCTTGTGCAGCAGTAATAACTTGTTTGCATCTTCTCACACAAAAAATATATTTAAAGGCAATAAATTCTATGAAACAAGTTTTTTATAACAAAGAATATAAATCATTTGAGCACTGTTACAAGCTCACATAGTAAGAAATTAATTAAAATTCATCTTATGCATTAATAACTTTACCAAAAATATAACATTGTATCACAATTATTTGTGTGCCAAAAACTATAAGTATTAATAATTTTTTAACTTACGTATTGTTTGGCAGTTGTATATTGAATGCTAATAACTGATTCCAAAATGGATCATTGGGGCAAATAATTTCTGAAGAACAGAAACGCTCTAAGAGCTCATTAGAGGATATGTCCGAATATCGGCTAATAGCCACCCCCATAGTGTATCTGAAAACATAATCAAAAAATGTTTTAAATATCTAAAAAGTTTTCTGGATTACATTTACATAGATAGAGGAATATCACAACTATTTATATATGTCAATACAATTAACATTACATTTTAATAAAGGAAAAATTACGAACAAAAATTAAACATTTAAAAATGGGTAATGTATGTTTTTAGAAGCTAATAATTTATAAATGAAAGAAATATATTACACGTGCACAATGAAACATAAACATGAACTTCAAATCAAATTTATTTTAACATAAACAACATTATTCCTAGGTAGCATTAATAAAGATTATTAAAAGAAGTACAAATAGACTCCAAAATTTTGCAACTGATATTTATAAAATTACCCTTAATGTGACACTCTGCTTCTTATGCGTTTTTAAGACGTAAATTAATGGAATTTAATTGGAATTTATTTTAGTTTTAATACATTTGTTTGCCTGCGCCACGAAATCATTGTTAATTTGTCAAACGTCATTTGTCATGTGTCAAATTAAATGTGACTTGCCAAATATAAAAATGTAAATATTTTTTTCGAGTATAACTTTTCGATTTATCCAATATATACAACATTAACGCGCGGTTTCTTAAACACTGATCATCGTAGAAGTTAAATAATCAGCTGTCAAATGGTATAAAGAATTTACTGAATCTATTATTATGAAATCTATTATTTCGAAGTGGACGATTTTATGTTTTTGTGCAAATAGTGTTCGGATTTTTGAGATAGACCGACCTTTGCGATATTGATGCTTTTATTATTTTCATTTAAATGGCAGGGAAAGCAAGTGTGAGTTATGTTTATTGAGAAATTGTATTAGCTTTGTATCTTCATTTCTTTGTATCCAAAATCGAGGAAATCATTGAGCAAAAGTAATAACAATATACTACAGGGTGGCCCTGTATAAACACTCAGACAGTAGAAAAACACTACGATCATTACACAATATTTTTCCAGTGGTGGGGATCGAACACAAACCCTCAGGCAGGCGCAGGAGGCAAGTACACTACTCACTACGCCATTCGGGTCGTTCGTAAAACATATTTCCGTATTTTATTTACTTTATCCAACAAGCTTGTATCCAATTACGGTTTTCTAAATGGTAGATTTTTTGTTGACGTTCAATAAGAGCTTAAGTTAGGCCTATATTGAATAAATATACTTTGACTTTGACTATTTATTTTATTTTATTTATTTTATGCGAAAAGTTGTCAAACGAGCAGACGGTTCACCTGATGTTAAGTGAATACCGCCGCCCATGGACATCTGCCATACCCAAGGGTTACGGATGCGTTGACAACCTTTTGAAAATTGGGCTCCGGCTACCTCACTCACCAGACGAAACGCGAAAGCATTTGTCATACTTCCACTTTACGCTGGTCTTCTGTGAGGTCGCGGTACTTACCCGGACGAGCGTGCCCATTCGTGCAACAGCCGAGGGAGCTGCGTGGCCCTACCACCGTTAAACTTGACCACCGTTAGACTTGACTTTGAAACAATGTTATCAAATATAAGTTAAATAAATTTCATATACACTATATACAAAACTGTGGTTGAATAAGCCCTCAACAATAAAACAAATATGGTTCATCTATATTTATAGAAATAGGGAGTCCTATTTCCCTTGGTCACGCCATCAGGCGTGAACGGCTGGACCGATTTCACTTTCTTTTGTTGTGTTTGTTATTGTCAGGAGAAGGTTCTTATGACAGAAAAAATTAAAAAAAAATTGCCTGAAAAAGACTAAAAACAACACTTTTCTATATTCCCGTACAAACGATTCGTAATAATACTTAAAAGTCTATTTGAACTTTAATACCATACGATAAAGTTTAAGTGTTAGCGGAGGGGTTCCGGGAGGGCAAAGCAAATGTAAACTTCTCTTTGCTGTGCATCACTATTACATAGTATAAAACAAAATCGTCCCGCTGTCTGTCTGTCCCTATGTATGCTTAGATCTTTAAAACTACGCAATGGATCTTGATGCGTTTTTTTAATGATTCAAGAGGAAGGTTCATACGTATAATATATTGTACCCGTGCGAAGCCGGGGAGGGTCGCTAGTTATATATAAAATATATTAGTATAGGTTACATACATCTGAACCCTTAGTTCGGTAAAGCATCAAGAGATGGCGCTGTCTCACAAAGACACTGGTAACTATGTTAATAATGTACTCTTTGGTATTAGTGTTCTGTGGCCAGTATATATTTCTTATTCTTAGCTATGTTATGTTGTGTGCCTGTGGTGTGCTAAGCTTTGTATTTAAAATTATGTATGACAGCACTTTCAGCAGTCCGTTCGATTCGATTTTAATTTTATGTTTAGCTTATTAGTGCAAGGGCCTAGAATCAATATTAAAAAATTGGACTGCAAAAATGTCTAGTGATCGTTATCGAATAGAGGTACTTTATTTCTTAAATCCTCATTTGATATGGGTTGAAATAATAGATCTGTCTACTGCACGAGAAAAAAGTTTTATATTTGAGCAGATCGGTCTTTATGGTGTATTACCATTGGAACCATTTTTGGACATTGTCGAAGAGAATCTTCAGACTCGAAAGACGGATGAATGGGTGCCGGCAGCATCGGTTACTATAAAGCATGCATTATCGGAAGCGCAGGAAGTCTGGTTCAGTCCGACTTACATCGATCGAAGGTATTCATGAATAGTGTTACCATTTTTGTTGTACCGGCTAAAGAGATGTAAAATTTAAAAATGTAAATTATTACTGTTTACATTTTGACCATAATATTAATAGCTTACAGATTAATGTTTAAACAATTAAAATTACAATATATCTCCTACCTTCCTACTCCACTCTTTTTAAGTACCTATTCATTTGGTGTTCATGTTAACAAACATTTATAGTGCAAAATTTTCACCTATTTCAGATCTTCATTATTTGACGATAATATTCATAAGTATGGAGAAATACTAATAAAGAAAGCTAATGGAAAAATGTATCAACTTTCAGAAATCTTAATGAAATCGGGCCTTGCTACATATGACATGTGTTTATTCCACAAAGAATTAGAGAAAAATAATTTAAAAACAAAATTGCAAAGCTTTGAGGCTCAAGATGTTATTGAGAATATTGAAAATTTTTATAAAAAGAAGGCGACGCTCAAATCGAAGTGGGAGAAATCAGTGAAATCAAACACGGTTATTGCCCGTACAGCTCTACAACTTGAATCAACTCTCACCGAAATGAATCTAGAAATTCACAATAAAGAAATAATGTCACAACTTTTACAAAATAAAATTAAAGATTTTGAAATGTGTAAAGGCATTGATGAGGAGCCTATAGGTAGAGCTTGTAAAGTGAATCATAAGAGTGGGAACAACAATATAGCCAGTAGCAATGCTATTTCGTCTGAATGCACTGAAACTGAACACAAGTCAAAAATATTAAAAAGGAAACTTTCTTTAATGGGAACCAGAAATGTGAATAGTTATTGCCTTGATATAAGAAATGAAAATGACACTAAACTGATATTGGCAGACACCAAGGAGTTTTTAGAGAGAAATGCTTATAATAATGATGAAAACGATGATATTACTGTCAGAAATCAAATGAGTACCATTTCACAGAACAATAGGTCCACACACCTTATATCAATTGAAAATAATGATGAGCTTTCCTCCAACTTAATGTGCATAGATAATTATCAAAAATGTCCTGTCGTCACAAACTGCAATGAAGCAGGTAAGTAATTAATTATTTCTTTGACTTAAATTAATTTTTATTTGACTCCTTTTGCAAAAATAAGACAAATTAAAGCACTTTATAATATTACAGTAACAATAGTTAGTAAACTGCACATTACATAAAAACTTAAATCCCTGAAAAACATGCTTAAATAATATTTAAATATATTCTATTTGAGAAAAATAGAAGTAATACAAAAATATTGAAATTTTACAACTACAAAAACATTAATGATCATTTATATCTGCTATTATCTGCTAATGTCAGCAATAAAATACTTTGCTTTTTACATAATAATTAATGTAAATGTTTAAATAATTAATAATGTCCTGTTTGAATTGCTATGTTATTTATTTATCATTAATTATTTTATATATTTTTAACAGCAATGAAACAAGGGGGTGCCTTAAAAAGAGCAAATATCCCTAAATTGATTGAAAAGAGAGTTACTTATGGACCACCAGGAATATCACCTGTAAACCTACCGTATAAAATAATGGCACAAAGTGAGTATGATCAAGAACAGACAAAGTTTAGTGATGAAAATGATGAGTACATTGCAAATAAAGAGGATATATATGAAAATGTGGATTCGAATATTAGTATCGAAAAAACAAATAAGCAGTTTTTGATGAAAATTAATGATGGGATAAATGAACAAAATGTTGTTCCAGTAAGTAAAATGTCATGTAATGTCGTTTTAAAAAATGAAGCCAGTGAATCCTATAAGCATTGTGATTCTAACGATCCATGCTATAATGATTCTTCTAGTGATCTTGGAATAAATTCATCCAATTCAAAGGTGTTAAAGAGGAAGTTGATGTTAACTCAAGGGAAATTTGCAAAGGTTGTGAACAGTTCCTGTACTTCATGCTCAGATACAACAAATAAAGATTCATCATCAAGTGTTGAAGAGATTAAGGACGCGTTTACGAATTCACGCGCTTCAATTTTAGGTACAGAGGCGTACTACTACACGTGCACGGCTCACGCACACAGCGACAAGCGCGAAGCAGCGAAACTTTATGTAACTGACGCAACTTGATACTTTTATTTAATTAGAAGTCATTTATTTTTTAAGCTTACGTTAAATTTGTTTTCAACAAGTTTTTAAACTGAATATTTTTTTATATATTTAGGTATAATTTATTAAATTTCATTTAAAAGCTCGTAGCTGTTGATAATTTGCATTTTAATTAATTATGTATATAATTTAATTTTATGTTTTAATTAATTTTTATGAAGTAAACGAATCTTGTTTTATACATGT